TCTGGTTAGCAGGCAAGTGTCTTAGCCACTATGCTACCATATTTCAATTCTCAGAATAATTATTTTTCCAAAAAGAACAGGTAATATTCAATGACAAAATAATATAAATACATTGCATTTTAAAAATTCTTTTCTTAAATACTAAAAGTTTTTAAAGTCCTGAAATCTTGCTTCAAAATCACATTGATTGATAGTGACCAGTAGGAGTTTAGCCAATAGTCCAATAATCAGACAATGATTTATTAAAATATGTTACATTTACTTGAGCACACAGCAAGTAAAATTAATGTGAACATCAGGAAAATAATTTAGCAGCTCTGAGAAATATCTAAAATATAAATTAAAGATGACTAGTCAGGATATATGACTGTACATATATTCTATTTATTATGAGAAAAATAAGAAATTTTGTGAAAAAAAGATGAGAGTATGATAGTAGTTGTGTTGAAGTGTAAGATTGAGAGGGTTTTCTTCCCATGTATTTTTCCAAAAGTAATACAAAGTTTCTAATAAAAATAAACATTGACAACTTTTATTTAATTTTATGTCAATATGCAATGAAATTGCTTTTGTCTAAAAAATAGCTACTGTTTTAAAAAGTGGTTGACATCTAATATCTTTATTCTTCTAGACACAAATTATATCTATCTTTATCAATTAAATTAATTTTAAAGTTATATACCAGTTTTTAGCTTTTTCTGTGCATTAACATTATATATCACAGTTTTTATCTAAAGCAAACAAAATTCCAAAGAAAAATAGCGTAGGTGAAAACTAGAAATGTTTATTAAGTAAAATAATAATGCTTCACATTTTTTCAATAGTTTGCATTGAAGTTTGACTACATTTATTGTATTTACTTGAGAATAGGTCTTTCAGAGTTGTTATTTCAAAGTAGTGTTTTGGCAGGGAAGGGAAATTATGTGTTTGGCTCTATTATACAGCATTATCTATTTGACCTGTAAATAGTAGGGGAGAATAATTATTTTGATTAATAAATATTAGGGATTATGACAGACCATTAAAAAGAGAGAGAGAGAGAGAGAGAGAATATAGTAATTCCAAGAGTGGGAAGGAAAAAAAGAGGAAGAAGTTTTAAGATTTTTACTGGCTTTGAGATTTTGTTCCCATTTAATTCCATTGGATTGCAATCTTTTGGGTCAGTCTATAATCTTAAATGGACTATTTCTTTAGCCTAAAACTATTTGCCAATATTGATAAAGACAAAATTTCTTTAATTGGCTATAGACAGAATTCTGATAAGCCCACGCTTTTTTATCTTTTTCTTGAGCTGCCTTTCACCTACTTCCTTCTGCATTTAGAACCTCTGTGGCCCACCCTGCAATCCCAGAAAACCTCCCCCTTCCTTCCCATTCTTGTATTGTTATATTTTTATGCATTAGGACAATATTCTGTTCTATCTTTTATTTCTGGTGAATCCAAGAATGCCCCGTGAAAATTCAGAAATCTCCCTCAATCCTATAAAATTTTATAAAATTAAAAATTATGCTCTCATGTGTCTTATCTTTCTTTACTTTTGCTTTGGAAAGTATGTATCACATTTAAAACCTTAAAAGATGCTGCAGATCTTCCCACCAGCATGGCAGAAAAAAAATTGGTAAATCTTACTTGATCCTTTGTGAGAAAACAAGTCACCAGATATTCAGAGCACAAGGACCATTCCTCATAAGAATTTATAACAAAGGACACAACACATATTGAGTTTGTTAACAAAAAGTGTAGCTTCCTCACAATACAATGGATAAATGCAGTTCTCTTTTCTCAACACAAAATCAGGCCAGGCCAACTGTGGAGACTTTGTAATCCTTGACTGAGGGAAGCAATAGAAATATTGAGAAACATTTCTGTCCCCGATAAAATATCTTTACTGCATTGTAATTGAATTGGCAGTGAATACAGTGGTTTTACTTGGGCTGCCTTTTCGTTATAGCATGCTTACATCATTGTATATTTTCATTGTGCTTTAGAAATGTTCTTAACCCAATTTATAGATTAGTTTATTTAATGAGCCTGTTAAATTGCACTTTCATGGCCTGGGGAAATGGGCTCTCCAAAAGAGTTGGCTTTTATCTCCAGTGACAACTTCTCCCCTAGAAGAATCTCATTTGATGATCAGTTAACTGCCATTTTCCCCCCTCAGTAGCTTCAGGGGTTGTAGCTCATGCAAAGTGCTTTCGTATTTTGGTTCACTGACTTAAGGTGCTCTGTGAATTCAAATTATAAATAAGTAATGTAGACCTTGTTTTGTGATTGAAATGAGGGGCAAGTTTAGTTGACCCTTTTGATTTTCAAGCCCCTAGTGGTATAGATGATATTCATAACTCTTTTCAGCCTCATTCTGCCTGTATTCTTTGAAGTAAACTATAATGTGTTGACTTCCATGACCTGTTCTTTGCTAGCAGTTCCTCAGCTGTAATGGACTTTGCTTATTCACAGAGGATGGCACCTCTCTTGAACTCTGGCTCATGTTATTTCTTTTCCTTTCCAGACATCTCTTACTTTCCCCGGGCATGTATCCAAATCCTTTTGAACATTTACCTCTCTAATGTAGAACTTCCTACCACTAAGAAGTTCTGCTTCCAATGTGGTTTATATATTATTTTTCCCCATAATGTAGTAATTTTAAATGTCTCTGAATGAATATTTAGAAACTAATTTATCTTAATTTTTATTGAATTTCATATATTCCCAAAAGAGATCTCACATTTTCATCTGTATGTATAAACAAGATGTGAAATAACCTACCACAAAGGCAGGTTTTATTATTTTCTTCCTATTCTAATTTTCTCATTTCTGACATTCATAATGGATTGTTTTTATTGCCTATTTTACAGCAATTTCAAGAATATAATCCATATAATGTAACAATAAAATATCTAAATCAAAACTCTTAAGTCAATAATACTACCTCCTTTATAGTTGATAATGTAATCATGCATCTGGTTCACTGGAAAATATTTTAAAAAACAAATCAGTAAATATATCCCAGTATGTTTTCTCTACCCTTTAATGTTTCTCAAATGTTTAAGTCATCTAATGGTTTGTTGTACATTTGCATGGAATACAAATAATATGAAGCTTTTGAATCTATAAATTATATATATATATATATATATGTATATGTATATGTAAATAATGAAACATTCTTATTCTTTTCACTGTTTAGTGAAAACACATTGATTGTCATGCATAACATCTTTTACTTTTAGCAAAAGCTTTTAGATTTATTGACATTCTCTTTTGACAGAAAATTTTTCAATAGCTAATTATACAAATATCTCTAGTCTCAATTTCCACACCTTGCAAATGCTCCTATTAAGCTGGTCTTACTTTGTCTAGAATTCTTTTCCATTTTAAGCTCAATTTTCAGATTGGACAAAAATTTTCTTTTCTTTGTTCATGATTCTTCATGATCTTTTCCTCTTTCCAAGCTAGTGTGCTAATAAGTATCTGACAAGTAAGAGGAAGATTTCCATTCCTAAGAAGGGCAAATCTGTTTATGTAAGCAATGAAATATACTTGGGAGTAAAGGTCAGCATGATTTCACTGAATTACATGGTAGAATTGGAGCAACATTCCTTGTCTATTCCTACCTCATAAATGAGCCCATATTGGAGGCTAGACTCTAATGTCCAGAAAAAGTAGACCATGTATTGGCATCCTGATTCTTCAGTGAAAAATGACTCTATCAATAATATAGCTATGCCTGAATATGAGAAAAGGAGCTCTGGTGACATAGTGCCTAAGGCATTTGACTGCTATCCAGAAGGTTGGCAGTTCAAATCCACCAGCCACTCCGTGGAAGGAAGACTGAACAATCTACTTTCATAAAGATTTACCACCTCAGAAACCCAAAGGGGGTCGCTATGAGTCAAGAATATTAGAAAACATGAAATATAAACAATTTATAGAAATTTTCTACCAGACCACTCTCATAATGATTTCTCATGCATTTGTAAGGATCCATGGCATCATATCCACTCTCAGCACCATTTGTGTTTTGTGAAGGTTATTTGATTACCATGGGCGTGTGCCTCCACCTCCCCGTGCTGTAATTCCACTGAAGCGCCCCAGAGTGGCTGTAACAACGACTCGCAGAGGGAAAGGAGTCTTTTCCATGAAAGGGGGATCAAGATCTACCGTCAGCGGGTCCTCTTCATCAGGCTTTAAATGTAAGTAATGGTTATTTTATTTCCCTTTTAAAAAGGGATAAGTATCATTACACAAAGTCCTATGTTCCATAAATGAGCCAAATAATCATGGAGAGTACCTATTATGGGAAAACTACTACAGGAGTATGAACTGGATAAGAAATTGTCACTGCTTTCCAACACGCTATACTATAATACAAAAGACAAACACAAATACGACTAACAAAAACATGAGGCACACTGGAAAAGTGTTTTATCAGAACAACTGATATTGTGCTCTGAGCCCATTTAGTTATGGCATATTAAAATCCTGCAATATAGGATGTTGCTTTTAATGAAGAAACAATTCCACTTCACCTGAAAGAGTATAATCTATCTTGCCAGAGGAACAGTATGCGAAATGTATGCATGCTTTGAAAAGTAAGCCTGAAAATCATAAAGCAGGTGAACTATATAATAGATACATTGAAAGTGTAACTTACCATACTATATTATACCATATTATAAATCACTATGAGAGTTTTGTATCTGAAAACATTTAATGCCATAAAGAAAAGAAAATCATATATACATAATTTCAAGCTGCTTAGTAAAATGGAGACAGAAACTTTCCAACTAAATATACTGCTAGATTTTCATACAGATTGACTCAGAAGAACTCTTTTTTTTTTGAAGATGGTTGTCTGATTCCATGAAGATTAAGCCGGGAAATCCTATGGGACAGTTCTATTCTGTCCTCTAGTATTGCTATGGGAAATCTGGTAGCATAGCGGTTAAGGCACTTGACTGCTAACCAGAAAGAAGCCTGGCAGTTTAAGCCCATCAGCCACTCCTTGGAAGGAAGGTTGGGCAATCTACTTCTGTAGTGATACTGCCTCGGAAACCCAAGGAGGGGTCGCTATGAGTCAGGTATGACTCGATGGCACATAACAACAACAACAGTATTGCTGTAAGTCAGAACTGACTGACAGCAACAGGTTAATCTTTTTTTTTTTTAATGCATTTTATTGAAATATAATTTATGTACAGTGAAATACACAAAACTAAAGTGACATGGGTTAATTTTTTTGTTTGTTTGTTTGTTTGTTTTTGCAGAGTTCCCTCTCCTCCCCTCCCACCCCTGGCAACCAACAAAGAAAGTTTCCCTCCAGATATAAACCTTTCCTTGACCCTCCAAAACAACGAACTGATACTATATTTGTCCTTCTGTGATTGACGTATTTCACTCAGCATAATGTCCTCCACAAGTTCATCCATGTTATGCAGTGTTTTGCAGACTCTACATTATTCTTTAGTGCTGCATAGCATTCCATTGTGTGTATGTACCATAGTTTGATCATCCACTCTTCCATTGATGGGCACATAGGTTATTTCCATCTTTTTGCTCTTGTAAATAGTGCTGCAATGAACATGGGTATGCATATCTCTGTTCCTGTAATGGCGCTCACCTCTCTAGGATATATACCTAGTAATGGGATTGCTCTGGTAGCATAGTGCTTAAGGCACTTGACTGCTAACCAGAAGGCTGGCAGTTCAAATTCACCAGCCACTCCTCAGAAGGAAGGTTGGGCAATCTACTTCCGTAGTGATACTGCCTCTGAAACCCAAGGAGGGGTCGCTATGAGTTGGGTCCGACTCGATGGCAAATAACAACAACAATGGGATTACTGGGTCAAATGCTATCTCCAATTCCAGCTTTCTAAGGAATTAGCATACTGCTTTCCACAGTGGTTGTATCACTTCACGGTCCCACCAGTAATGTATGAGAGTCCCAGTCTCTCCATATCCCTGCCAGTATTTGTTATTTTCTGTCTCATTGAACCTTGTCTTCAGTGCTGGGGTGAGGCGGTATCTCATTGTTGTTTTGATTTGCATCTCCTTGACGGCCAATGATCATGAGCATCTCTTCATGTATTTGCTGGCTGCCTGTATATCCTCCTTGGTGACCTGTCTATTCATGTCTTCTGCCCATGTTTCAATTGGATTGTTAATCCCTTTGCTGTTGAGGCATTGGAGTTTTATATAAATCTTAGGGATAAGTCCCTTGCCAGATATGTAATTATCGACAAGTATGAATTTGTTGTTGTCATTTTGTTATGTGCTTTTTCATGGTGTCGATTTCTTTGATCCATATAATTTTTTGTGCTGAGCTCATTTTGCTTATGAATCATGTTATCACTTCCTTCGTTGCTATTGTTTTAGTATTTGCTAAATGTTTGTGCTGGTCCTCTGTTTTATTTTGATGTAAAGGGTTATCATTTTTCTTTGAGTTTACCTGTGATTTATAGTTTTCTTCCCAAGTTTAGAACAGTCTGCTCTATCTTGTAGTTGTCTTGACTTCCCTACCATTTAGAAGTTCTGTAACTACACAACTTTTTCCCTCTTTTTGGTTTATAGTTGTCCTCATTTGTGGGTTGGTATCTCTGGTTCCCTGTTTACAATCTTGTAGGCTTATTTACTTTGGATATTTCTGTAACTGGGTTGGTTTCTGGGTTATTTCATCATGTGTGTTAATTCTCAGTTATTGTTTGCTGTTGTTGGTTCTCTATCCAAAGGACTCCCTTTAGCATCTCTTGTAAGGTTGGTCTGGTTTTAACAAATTCCTTTTAATTTCTGCTTATCTGAAAATCTCCAAATTTCACCATTATATTTGAGGGACAGTTTTGCTGGGTATATAATTCTTGGTTCAAAATTTTTCTCTTTCAGGGTTTTATATATACCATCCCATTGCCTTCTCGCTTGCATGGTTTCTGCTGAGAAATACTAGCTTACTCTTATTGGTTGTCCCTTGTAGGTAACTTTTTGTTTTTCCCATGCTGCTTTTAGGATTCTTTCTTTGTCTTTAGTTTTGTGAGTTTGATGATTATATGGCTCAGTGATTTTCTTTTGGGGTCTATCTTGTTTGGGGTTCATTGGACTTCTTGAATGCATATATTCTCACATTTCATCATACCAGGAAAGTTCTCTTCTAACAAATCTTTAACAATTTTTTCTGTGGTTTTATTTGTCTCTTCCTGTTCTGGAATTTGATTACACTTTTGATGGTATTCCCCATGAACCCTTGGCTTTCTTCATTTTGTTTTGATCTTTCTTCTGATTGATCCCTTACCAAAGAAGTGTTGAGGTATTTGTCTTCAATATCACCATGGTTCAATTCTACTCCTTTGCCCATTCAATATGTTATGTATTTTTGAAAATTTAGTATCTATCTTCTGAATTTCTGTCTGTAGATTTTGTATCATTTCTAATTTTTCATTTATTTTGTCATTTTGTTCTTGTATTGTCTTTTGAAATTGTTCTAGGGTTTTCTCTGTTTTCCTCAATTTTGTCAATGTTTTCTTTGATCTGTCTCTCAATTCATTGAAGGTACCTATATATAATTCTTTTGAATTCTTTATCAGGGAATTCCAATGCTGCATCTTCCTCGTGGGTGTGTTTTGGGTCTGTAGCCTTGTCCCTTGTTTCTCCTGCTTTATCTTGCTTCTTTGTGTGGACTGTAATGTTCTGTTGTCTCCAAGGCATTATGACATTTTTGTGTTTATCTTTAATTAGTGATCATATGTTTGAGTGACTTGCCCACGCTTTTCATTTTCTTTGTTTTGTTTGTATGTTATCGATGTAAGCAGGGTACTGTGCTGTGCTCCTCTATTCGTTAGTTGCCAGCACTTATACACTCACCACCTGTCTCCTTTCCCATTGTCAGCCTCCCATATGTCCCTGCTGTCCTTGGCAAATGGAACCTATTCTTAGGTCCCTGGAATCCAAGTGAGAATGCTGTCATTTTAAAATCCAAAATGGCTGCCACTTGTAAAGATTCAAAATGGCTGCACCCTGGGTCACTTTAAATATCCAAAATGGCTGCCACTTGTAAACAAGCAAAATGGCTGCATCGTCCAGACAGCCGAAAGTCCACAGCTCAGGTTGTCTCTCTCCTTGCTGTTTCCCTTTGTAGTCATAGGCCACCAGCACAGTTGTCCCTGAAGCCCTTGGCAACCAGGCCTGATCTTTAGGTCAGTTCTCAGGTTCCAACACCACTTGGAAATATTCCAGCTATTGGTTCCATCAGAGTAGCTGAGAGTCCACTGTTCCAACCATCTCCATACTCACTGTTTTCATTCAGATTTTTCCACTAGTTGGTGCCTCATCCACTTCTGTATACTTCCTTTTACAGCTCAGGGCTCCAAGATTATCTTCCATATCTCTGTAAATTGGTTTCTCTTTTCTTTGTTGAAGAGGATCTGTGTAGCTTGACTGCCTATTCATCTGACCAGAAGTCTCAGAACTCTCATTTTTTTATTAGAATAGTTCTACTAAGGAAAGAATAGAAAAATTCCTACATTCCTTAAATTACATTTCAGCAGAGGAGATGGGCAATAAGCAAACAAAATGTGAGCTGTCAGACAGTAGATGATTGCTACACAATTTAATACCTCATACACTGCCATAGAGTTAATTCCAACTCATAGCATCCCTGTAGGACAGAGTAGAAGTGCCCCCACAACACTTCCAAGGTGTAAATCTGTACAGAAGCAGACAGCCACATCTTTCTTCCATTCCTAGTGGCTAATTAATGGGTTTGAAGGGAACTCTGGTAGCATAGTGCCTAAGGCGCTTGACTGCTAACCAGAAAGAAGCCTGGCAGTTTAAGCCCATCAGCCACTCCTTGGAAGGAAGGTTGGGCAATCTACTTCCGTAGTGATACTGCCTAGGAAACCCAAGGCTATGAGTCAGGTCTGACTGGACGGCATATAACAACAACAACAATAAATTTGAACCCCAACGTTTCAGTTAGCAGTCAAATGCTTTAATCATTGTGCCTCCAGGACTCCTTATGCAATAGAAGTAGGCTGAATAAAGGCATAGAGAAAGATAGGATCTTCCATCTTCCATAGGATGGTCTATGACTTTCTGAGGACAATCTGTCTTTGAGCAGAAACCTGGAGGAAATAAGGGAGTGAAAGAGTGAGCCTCAAGACTATCTGGTGGAGAATGGTCAGTGCAGAGACCCTACGCTGCTATAG